CAAAATATACACAATTTCAGCATTCAATATCTATGCATAAAATCACAGCCACTCTTTAACTTGTTGGCGTTAACAAAGAACAAATAAACAAGCAAACTAACTATCAACAACAAAGCAAATAAATAAATAAATGAGCAAACAAATACACTTTCATATCATAATTAAATTTGTCTCCCATTTCATACTTGCCCAGCCAGATGGGACCATGCGATACGCAGCAAAAAAGAAAAAAACAAAAACAAAAATCAAAAGAATTTTTTTCTGTGCAATTATTTAATGCAAACTCCAATAAAATTTTAATTGCTCTTTTTCATAAATATGTAAATTGAAAAGTGCGTCTTTTTTGAGCAATCCCCAGGGGGTGGGTGCCAAGGGGAGCGGGGTGCTGGAGGGGGGACTGCGCTAATTATTTACAATTAAAATTTATGCGGCTGCCTAAATCAACAAACTAAATCGTTTAATTAAAAAGCCGCGAGCACACAAATGAAACAACCAAATCAACAATAGTTACAGCAAAAACAACAACAAGAGGCAGGAACAACAAACTGATATTGCTTGAAGCCGCAACAAAATCAGAGCCGCAAGTACAAAGATAAATAAGTGGCATTGTCGGTTTCATTTCCGGTTGTTGCATTTGCATTCAAATGGCTGTGTGTGTGTGTGTGTGTGCGTGTGTATACTGGTGTGTATGTGTGTGTGGTGCTTGTAAGCGGTATATAAGCACATTTCCCACTGCTTTTTAGATTTAAGCGGCGCGCAGCTAAAAGCACAAAAATAAAGCAATAAAAAACAGCACGCCACAAGAAATGTAACAGGAGAAGTAGCTGCCGCAACGAGGGTCGCTCCTGAAGGGGCGGCACAGTTACGAGCAGCTGTCGTTTCCGTCCAACCCAGCCCCGCTAACTGCGCACTCGCCCAACATTTGTATTGCCTGCCGCTGCTGCTGCTGCTGCTGTTGCTGCTGTGACTTAGCCTCGACTGTCTTTCAGTTTCTCACTTCATCAGTTACGCCAAAAAGGAGACTCTGCAATAAATTTCGCTGATTGCTTCCGCCCTCGACTAGGAGTCTAACCTCGACTCCGATTCGGCCGACTGCCTCATTTTTTATGCCGCTTGATAAAGTAATATCCGTTTTAGGTATACTAACAAGACCTGCTGCCTATTTGATACCCTGTAGCGCGTGCATTTATTAACTAGTGCAGCGCCTGACAGCGTGTTTTTATCGAATTAAGTTTCAGTTTTGATGGCCGCAGTTCGTGTGGCCCATGAATGCAAAGTGAGCGCATAAATTATAGGGTATTAAATTCATTTTGGGTGCTGCGAATAATGTGCCAAACTTTATGCTATAATTTGGTCACAGCTCTTTGTTGTTGTTCTAACGCAGATTTGTGGCCTTGCGACTGCCACAGGCGGCACATGGGGCGTATGCGTCATATCGCAGCACGCATACGCAGTGTAGGTCAATGCTGATGGAGATCTACCCCGGCCCCAAGCAAAAAAAGAAAGCAATACTCTCTTTCTACGACCCTTACACTGACTAAAACTGAATGCGGGCGTGTGGATGTGTGTATGCGTGTGTGTGTGTGTGTGTAATTGAAACTTCCGCTTTGGTCAGTTAGCGCAATTTAGCAAGCTGCAAAAAAGTTAGACACGGCTGAAGTAACAGGCAAAGTGCAAAGTCCATTGCAGCTACTTGGCTTTCATTTCAATTTAAACTTTAAAAAGCCAACACACAAGTGTGAGTGTCTGTGTGTCTCTGTGTGTGTGTGTGTATGTGTGTGTGCGTGTGTGTGGCTGTGTGAAGCCACATGTAGAACTGAAAATTATTTAAAATGATTTATTTCACAACAATTTTCATTAGGCGACCAACTGCATTGCAGGTTTGTCCCCTCCTCCAGCCGCTGCTGCTGCTGTGTGCGGCAGCCTCCTCACGCCGTGCACTAATTCACTTTTGCTGATTTTTGTACAAAATATGCGAATGCTGCCTTGAGTTGAAGCCTTGGTAAACGAGTTAAAGGGTGGCGCGGTGCCTGGATCGAGCTATGTGGCACTGGCGGGCTTTCATACATGTTTCATATGAAATAATTATATATGCGGTCAGCTAGCCATCCGCCTGCCTGCAGGCAGTGCAGCATCAGCCTGACCTGCCCTGCCCGCTCCTTTGCCTTCAACCATATCAGCAGTGTCCCCTTCATCCCTGTGCAATTTGCTTTTCGCTTAGCCAATGGCACACACACACACACACACACTCACACACAAAAATTAAATAAAAATGTTGCAAGACGAAAAAAAAAAAAAAGAAATGGGTAGAAAATGTGCTGTTGCTACATGTTCCGTGTTCCGTGGCGACTGCTGCATAACTTTTGCGGAAATTTGACTCTAGGGCGCAGCAGCCACGCCTCCATAACCCAGGCCCAGGCCCAAGCCCAAGCCCAAGCCAGTCCTGGCCGCTGTCAGCGTCTGTGCGCAAAAATTAGTAGAAAAGAAGAAGCATGGAGAAGAAATGTTTGGTAGAAGCAACTTGAAAAAGGTTAACAAGCGGCAGCGCAGCACAGGGAAAAGCCCAACAACAAAAAGAAGTTATAATTTTTGGCTGGCAACTGCAACAACAACAACATCAAAAACAACTACTGCAACAGCAACTACAAAGGGGAACGTTAATGAAAAGCAAGCGTGAAATAAAATCATAAATTTTGCAGCGCTTGCACGACAACCAGTGGAAAATGGCAGTTTTCAAGTGTGTGTGTGTGTGTGTTATGTTATTTTTGTTTTCCATTTGTATGCGTGTGAGTAAAAAAAGCTTGGGCAGACTTGTGCTTGGACAAGTGCATTTGCGGTGTGCCCCCAAATGTATGCCACATTAATGCTGAGAGTGGAACGATCTGTGTAAGTGTGGGTGTCAGTGTGTGCGTATGTGTGTCTGTGTGTGCGACTCGACATTAACTGGCAACACAGCCCGGCATCTAGACTACACATGGCTAGCAGTGGTCAGCTTAGTGTGTAACTAAGTGTGTGTGGGCGTGTGTGTGTGTGTGTGTGTTGGTGCGGGATGTTTAGATTTTCCCAACTTAGAAGGTACAGCGGATATAAAAGTGCTCGCAAACATCTGCTCTGGGCAATGGACGGAACAAGTGAGGAGTCATGTTGACGCTGCTTAGCTTCTGTTGCATCAGGAGCTTGAGAATTGGCCAAGTCGTATTGTATTTGTGCCCAGCGAGAGAAAAAAGGAACGAAATAAGTAACGACATATATCTTCTTTTATCGATTTCATATTCATGTCATCCGAATCTTTCCATGACATGCATTCAAGGCTTAAAACAACACAAGTTATATTCAAATAAATTATAAACAAATACAGGTATTTTTGAAGGATGCGAATACAAAAAAGAGTCATAAGTAAAAAAAGCTCAAGCACAGATTCAATCAAGACATCGAGTAATAAAGATTAATTTCTCAACAAAAAAAACTTAAAAATATATTCAATCTATATATATAGACCCAAGATAATCCAAAATAATCCGCATGGAAGTAATTACTTATCGGATATAAAAGGAACAAAAATAGCAAAGCGTTGAGAACACAGCTAAAAAAAGCTTTCCCGAAAGCCATTTTTATACGTTCGAATGGTTTGCAGCTTGGGTAACTTTAGTTAACGGGGTGTGGCAACAAGACTTTCTGTTAAGTTTAACAGTAGAGTTTCGCCTATTTTAGCAGAGAAGTAGAGTAAAAATCAAGGTCGCAAACCGATTTTGAGTCGAACCGGTTTGAAATCGAACTAACCATATTTTTAACATGAACCGTACCGGTATTTTTGGGACATTTTGGTTTGGTACAAAATAAAAGTACTTGTGTGTTATCTTATATTTAGTAGATGCCAATTTTGTGTTATACTCAAAATCTTATTCCACATGCCAAACAGAGAATTGAACCAAAATCTCAGCAGTAGCTGGTTTTAGCGGTTTACCGAACCATCTCTTCATTTTAGGTTTGTAGCCGTGGTAATAATAATTACTTCATGTTAATTACTCAAATGATTATCAATTAAGTAATTTGAAGAAAACTTCAAATAGTTTTTTTTTTCTTAAAAAATTGTGTACATACTTTATTTAACTAATTTTGGTTTAATGTACTCTGTTGATGTTGGGCCAATAAAATTGAAAAACATACGCAACAGAGGCTTAAATAATTATTTGGAATCCAAGGATCTTAAGATATAGCGCATTCGAGTGTACCTATATTTGAACCAACAAAATGCATAATTCTGTTAACAATTTGCGCATTGGCTATATGTGCTTATATTGACATAAGTATTCGACTAAGATTAATGTTAATCTGATTGTTATTGTTATCTATGCGATCTTTTTCTATAGCACTTCGTAACAGGAGTTAAAGCCGAAAACCGAACAACAGCAACAAAGTTCCTAATAAATTCCATTTCAGATACGTGCACAACAATCAAAATCACACTCGCACGCACGCACACACACATACACACACACACACACAAGCACACTCATAATAAAGAATTTTAGCTATGGCCGGGCCTGATGAACGGCTCAACACTCGTAATTTGCACTATTTTTACGATTTATCAATTGATGATTGATTAATTATATATATATAGGTATATAATTTGTGTTGTTTCCTTTTGTTTTTGTTTCTCTTTTTCTGTTTATAGATCAGTGATAAATGCTTATCAGTAAGTTGTATTTTTATACCTATAGGTAAGTAATTTTTTTGTATTTTATAATTTGTGTGTTTTTTTTTTTTTGTTTTTGAGTCCAGCTACAAAACGTTGCATAAAGTTTGTATAAAAGTTGTTCATTTTGTTTTTCGGTTTAGTTAGATTTGTTTTTGTTTTTTTTTCTCATATATTCTTGACTAGCAAATACAAAAACCCTATCAATCGGTTGGCGACGACAATTATACCTATATTCACTATACATATATATATATATATATATATATATATATATATTTATTAATAACACGATATAATATATACTGTATATATTATATATTCTCTATGGTATATAGTATGTTAGAAACAGATGCTATAAAATCACTGCCAGCCTTGGCCAGCATTTTGGTAACTGTGTAAACGTATTGCCCATAAGACTACAATCATAATCAACACTCTATACTATAGACATGCATACATATATATGTATAAGTGTGTATACATATATACGTACACACATGTTCATAAGCGCTAATATTCGTTAATGAGAAAAGTCTATTAGGGTTCAGCCCTGTCGGATCAATCGAAAATGCATACAAACACGCGCAGGCAGTTGATGCCCACCTTCTCCCAGCAGCCCTCCTCGGTGGGTCGGCCCTCGCTGGCCAGACGCATCTTCTTTGGGTAATTCTTGGGGCTGCTGCGATCGCTCAGATGCACCGGCATGAGGGCGTATTCAGCGCGTGGTGTGCGAAACTTCTCCATCAGCTCCGATTGCTGGGCCGTGAGGTTCTTTAGCTTTTTGCCTGCATCAGAAGATCCGTTGAATTTATTTACACATCAATTATATTTTTACATTGATTTGCTCACCCTCGAGCGCTTCCAGGATCAGGGACGTCTCCAGCTGCGGCAGCAGCTCAATGCGTTCGCAGCAGCGACGAAATTCCGATGCGCTCATCCGCAGATAGCGAGGAGTTAGGCAGAGCGGGCCGAGCACCATGCGGCGATTGTCCAGCGTGGCATCGAGATTCCTGCGCGCACACTCCGCCAGACTCCAGTTGACCAGACACTCGAACAGCGTCACCTCGGAGCGCAGCTGCAGGGTGTCGCGCCTGGCCAGCGTCTCCAGCTCCTCGAACCTCAGATCCGCAATGGCCTTCATCGAGAGCAGCAGCTCGGCATGCATATCGATCAGCTGGAGTGTGTTGTGCAGCAACGCCACACCGTAGTCCTCGGTGGTAAACGGATTCGGATTGGGTATGAGATTAGCCTGTGCTCCATCCCCGTCGCCGCCATTCTCGTTCGCCTGGGCCGCCTGCGCGGCCTGCTGCTTGGCCGCCGCCTTCGCCTTGGACTGCCTGCGGGCCAGCTGTTGTGCAGTCTCTTGTGTGGTGATCACCGTCTGGCGTTGGTTGGTCAGCGCAATGCCCTGGTAGAACCAGAGCGCCTTGAATATGTCCAACGCGGTCGCACTCGAAATGCTGAGATCAAGTTCCCGAATACAGTAAATTATCTGTGCGGCAAGAGGTGTAGCGATAAAGATTAGATAACTAAGAGATGAGCATTTGGGACTCTCAAAGAACTCGGATCCATATAGATGCCGGACACGGTGAACAGACATAGAAGGAGGCATCTCCGACTCCATAAAGTATGTATATTCTAAATCAGATTCAACAGCCGACGTGATATAGCCATGTCCATCTGTCCGTCTATATGTTTCTATGTCAACAAGTCTCTCTGTCTTAAAGCTAGCTAGGTTCGCCTTTATGTTGTAGGCAGTACATATATGTGGGAATCAGCCTGATCGGAGAACTATATCATATAGCTTTATCAATATATACAATTGCCAACAACAAAAACTTAGAAAAACAACAAAAATAACCAATAAATATAGATTATGAAGAATTTCTCACTTTAGTCTTTTGCCCCCATTTTAAAATTGTTATAGACAAATTCTTTAAAAACTCACCAAATCGGGCACATTGAAACGATCCGCCAGTTCGAGTATCTTTAGCAGATGCTTATGATCCCGATAGGGTATAAAATGCTTTTCCATATAGCGAACAATCAGCTCGAAATCGTTTTTGTCCACATTGGAGATTTGAAAATGATTATCGCTCTTGCGTCCGCTGTTCGGACCGGCGTGTATCAACTTGGCCAGTTCGACGCTGCGCTCCAGCACCGACTTTCGCTCGCAACGTATCATATAGCGATCGTCGCCATTGACCACAATGAAATCGATGTAAGGATTCACAATGATCGGCACACCTGTGTAAATGTTCGTCTGGCCGCGTGCATACGCCGGCGGCAGCACCAGGTGTGCGGGTGGTGCACTTGCCGCCGGTGCGCTCTGTATGGCATCCACGTTGTGGCCATCGGGGCCAAGATTGAAAGGCAAGACCATGCTACAGTTTGTATTTGCTTGGGACTCCAAGCAGCTGCAGTTGACGTTTGTGGGCTCGTTGTTGTTGTTGTTTTGGTTGTTGTTGTTGTCCTCGTTTCTGGTGTTGTTGCTGTTGGTGGTGTTGTTTATGTTGTTATTGTTGTTTTTGTTGGGCTGTTCTGGCTCTTCTGGCTGCTCTGGCTGCACAGACTGTTCCGGCTGCGCTGGCTGCCGTGGCACTGGGTCAGCTACTTCCTCCGGCGGTTTAGTGTCCCGTGCTTGCAGCGCCTTGTGCACCAAAGCCCCAACAAGCGGCAACTTGGTGGTGCGCTCCTTTTTCGTCAGCTGCTGCTCCAATTGGCTGGGTGAGCTTCGCTGGCGATTCTTGTTGCCAGGTCGCTTCTTGGCCAACTGGAAAGGAAACGACAAAAACAATTAGTAAACACATATGATATGAGTTGCCCAAGTGACCTAGTCAAGTCAAGAGCGTGTCCACAGCTACTTATCAATATTTAATTATTAAGAGTATTGCTAACACTCATTAAATGCTCATCATCGTTAATTCATCTTATCTAGTGTTAAGTAGCCATGAGTGACATTTCTAAAGACTGCCGCGCTTATCTTCTAGCAATATTTTTTAGCCAAATTGGCTGTAGCTCCCTGTATAGCATTTATTTACGTTACAGATAAGCCAAAGTTGAACAAGTTTTCGGCTCCTTCCGCTGCTGTTATAAAGGGAATCACAGAATTGAAACGATAAAACATTAGTCAGCTATATTTCACCACATTGGTAAACTTCATCGGGACCGATATATACATATTATGGCCATATAAACAACAACTAATTACAAGTGGTTTACCCACTTTTACTTTATCGCTGTGGCTTTATCTTTCGATTGCCGCACTTGAGCGCATAAATCGTTTAATGTCCAGTTATGAGTCTAATCGCTGATTTTTCCACGCGACTGTAAATTAAGTAATTCAAAGCGGGCGGCTCTGGCGCTGCGCCGACAAATTTTTGGACACAGAGGTCAATCGATTTAAACACATTCAATCGTTTTATTGCCAGGAACTTGGTTACAATTCATCATCAACTGGCCATAAATCATGTGGCCCACAATCGGCGCCATATCGAAACGCTAGAAGTCAGATACACAAGCGCGTGACAGCCTATAAATTGTATAGGGCCCCTCCAACGGACCAAAGCTAAAAACAGAACCATCCGAAGACACCTAACTTAAAGGCAGGGCCCCAGGCGTTAAGACAGCCAAATTATCACGTCAACTGAGCTACCGAATCGGGCCGATATGACTTATGTAAGTTGTCAAAAAATAATAATAACAATTGACCATGCCATAACAGCAAAACGATTTATTGGTAGGTGCCATAAAGAACATATATGTCTATGCACCCCAAAAGCACTTAATAGTGAAATAATAAATAAAAGCATCTTACCAATGGAATACCAGGTCTATGTTAGAGCAAAATCAAAAACGTGTCAAAGAACACTAGAAAACTGAACTTGGATTCGAAAGAAACTTATCTAAAATTTCTCACAAATTTGTATAGAAAATTCTCAGAGCTCTAGATTTGTTGTCTACCAAGATACAAACACAGCAGATATAGATTTAGGTTCATAAGCTTTCTACAAAACTCTAGCTTTAATCGTGATGTCTCGATTTTAAAGAGCTGGACACTCGAGCTGCATATCAGTAGACGCTCACCGATTACTGCACATCGCGTGGTCTGTTGGTCCCCAATAAATCGACGACAATTCTTTAGAAATGGGTATCCCAGGCCGAAGCCCAACGAGTTTTATAAGACCACACAGTTTTATCGCCGTTTGATTCATGTGTGTCTGCTGTTGTTGTTGTTGTTGTTGTTGTTGTTATTATTGCTTTAAGTACTGTGCAAACAAAATTAATTATGGCACGCCATGATTGCCAAGAAGTTCGCAAAAGCGCAAAAAATAAATAAAGTTCAAATATTATTAAATAAAAAATAAATGTATATGCTATATGTACCACAATATTTGAACAGTTGTAAGGAAGACAAAATGTCGACGGCTAAACCTGATGCCGGGTGTCGACATCGACATCGACATCGACAAGACAAGACAACGTGCTGTTCGCCCTGCTCACCCCCAACGCCTCCCTCTGCGGCACATGGCTTGTGACTAACTCGAGCAGTCGGAGCCCCCCTGTTCTATTTTCTTAAATATTTGCTTCAGAGCAAATGGAAGTGAAGTCGTCACGTCGGTTGGGTGCAATAAAGAAATTATCGTATGCAAATAAATTTATGATGTCGAGCGATGTTTTCACGCCGCGCTGTTATCTGCACAGCAGCTGCCTTGCCCCCCACGCCCTACGTCCGCCCTACGGCCGCCCAGTAGCTGACCACAGACTATTTTTATGTGGATCACAATGCATGAATTAACACCACACAGAGTCATAATCCAAAGCCGCCGCTGCCTTTGTTTATTAAACGGCTTAATCCGCCTGGACAGGCTGCTCGATTCATGGAAAGGTGCCGGGGCTGGGATCGTGGCTGTAGTCTATCCAAAACTATTCGAAAACTGTTTTCGAGGCACGCACTTGAACTTCGAAGCGCGCACATGTGTCTGCGGCTAGATATCTAAGTATCTAGGTATCTAGGTATATGGCTGATATTCGTATCAGGGTCTGGCCATGCACTTCTTACATTTTATAGTTATGTGTTTGTTGGGGCTGCCTCTTATCACTGAAGGCTCTTTCCATCAATCAATCAAATGCGATTTATTTTCGCTTTCAGCTGACTTAAGATTGTGTGTGTGAAGTTGTATCTGTTTCACAAATTCAATATTAATTTATGTTATTGGAATATTGTATTTATGTATTTAATAAAGTCGATTATTTCCGCACTAATTTTGAGGGTGCGAACTGCACGCCGCGAGCTTAGAACGTCGACTGTTTGTCCCTGGGCGAAACGCACACGACGCCGGCGACGCAGACGTCGACGCCAGCGTCGACTGCGACGCGAACGCATAGGTAAATCTGTGTGTTGCGACCTACTGAGGAGAGAGTATAGAACTCTGCAATATGTCTGATGAATCGTGTATGCATTTGGATATTGTTACATAATATATTATACATATGACTAATATTTAATATAATAACTTTTGCTACGCCAAGAATATTTTGTGTAACTAATTCTTCTGAGAAAAATAAGCTTCTAGACATACAAAATTTGCTTTACTTTTCATTGCCCGTCTGACCCTCATATAATTCAATTTCAAATTGTTCTTATATTTGACTTCAATATGCGGAGCAAAAGATGAAGAGCATGTGAGATAAGCCCGCATTTCGCGGCAACTCTCCGAGGTTGCAAAAAGCAAAACCCATTTGAACATTCATGATATTACAAGAGCCACCAGATAAATGCATGCAGCAGGCGGAGACGCAGCGGATATGGACTCAAGTACCTCGCCTGGGCAATCGACGACTCAATTATCAATTTAATTTATTCAACAAACAACAAATGCCAAATAAATAAATAATCTTGTGCCAAAAGAAAAAGGCAGCCACAATCAATGTTTGATTTACAAATTAACAAAACGATTGCAGGGCAGGCGCCTACAAATAGGGCTCTGGGCCCAAGCATTGCTGTTGGGTGTGGAAGTGCGTTTGGTTTTGGGATTGTGCTTGGGTTTGGGATTGGGGTTGGGTGTGGGTGTGGGTTAGATTGTGGGTGTTGCTGCCTCTTCGCTGTTCTGCGATATTTAACAACTGTAATTGTCGTCGAGGCGTTTTATTTGCGCACGAATTACGTGCATAAGCATTTTATAGATAAGGAATATAAATAGGCAGAGCAAACTTAAGCGTAGCTTAAGCTGAAAAAACTAGTGCAACAACAACAAAAACAGAGGAGGCAGCCAAAAGAGCATAAATATTGGCAGCCAAGGCCGTAGCGAAAGCTGCAACTGCTTAAGTTTAAATGTTTACCAACGAGGGCTGCTCGAAAAGTTGACAACCTTGAATTGCATATAACAACGGAGCAGATACGTGTAGCTAGAGAGAAGAATCACTTGCACGAATCCGTAATATTCCCGACATAATTTGTAATACTCTTAAATAATATTAACGCAAACCCATAAGGTATATGTATAATCTTGATCTCTATCAGCAGCCGATTTCTGAATGAACAACTGCCCGTCTTCCGTCGATCCGTTTCTGTTGCCTTCTCGGAACGATAGATCGAAGAGTAGATCAGCAAACGATTTAATAAATGTTGTCAGTATTCTATATTTCTGTATCAATAGAATGACTCACATGGCGAACTTTAGGAGCAGCCACCTCTAGTTATTGACAGGTTTACATATGATGTTGATGATGTTGATGATGATGGGGTTGGGCCTGCTAATAAGTTGTCGGTGTCTCGAGTCACGGAAGCCGGGCGCAGTTAACAGTAAAAAGTAGCACTGTTAAGCTCACGCACTACCTTGACATTGGGCCCGGCCGACTGCGGCCCAGCTGAGTGGCAGGCTTTGTGGGCAACAGAATACATACTCTTCTACCCTGCTGGACGCCCCCCCTTTGGCAAATTCGAGCATATGTTGAGCATTAAAACTAGTTTACGATCGCAAAATGCTTACAATATCGTCATTATCATGAACACGTTGTAACAGATCAAATATTTGTATTCATAAGGAAAATTAATTAGCAAAGCGCAAAAAGCAACAACAACAACAAGCAGCAGCAGCAGCTGCCAAAGATGAAAAGCCATTTAATTAGTTTAATTAAACATAATTATGCACGAGGCGGCGTAAACAAATTCTCAAGTATTCCCAAGTGGCAGCCGCCACAAGGCAAACAAACAAACAAACAAACAAAGCGAAACACAACCAAAACATTGAAACAATACAAATATAAAAAAAACTGGAAAATATGCGTAGCTAATTTCGAAAATGTGCCTAATGATCAATGGGAGCGTTTATGTACCTGTAGCCGCACACAGGGAGCCAAGAATTTGGCGTCCAACAGGCCCCAAAAATAAAAACACTTGGCCGGCCAGAAAAGTTCAGCGCTTTTCTGGCCGAGTGCGATGGCCCAGAGCACTATTTATAAAGCGATGCATTCCAAATTTGCCAAAAAAGCAAAAAGCAAAAACGAAAGGGAAAATAGAAATGACAGCCAAATGTAAGAACTAATGAATGTTTTAATGTCGGGGTCTTTAAACTGTTCTGGCATTTAAATATATGCTATTCACAGTAAAAATATCTTGAAATACTTAAAAGCGCACCTTGCAAAGCATATTGCAATCAAATTTGGCAGTAAATTGCTGCTCTTCGAACTAGTATATATTCTAAATGCATAAGCTTAAATTGCCTTATTATTAGCATTTGGGTATACACTACATATATTATCTGAATATGGCTGTAGGCGTAGAAAATGAGACTGAACTTGCATGGCCCGTGTGCATGACGAATATTTCGAAGCCTGCCAAATGTTGGGGCAGAGTGCGGTAATTTGATTTGCCACATTTGCCACAACAGAGATTTCGTGGCACACACAATGTTACTGCGACTGAGTCATAACAGATAAGAGCCCGTTGCAGTGGGCGGGCCGGGGCTACGGCAGGATTTCACAACGTGACAATGACATCATGCAGCGCCGTTTTAATTGAGTCTCCGCCAAACACAGTCCGGGAACTTGAGAGCCGGCCGCTCAACTTGTAATAATAATAATAACAACATAATAATTTACTGCACTTTCGAGCAGCGCAGTAAGCGAGGTGAGTAATCGGCTCATAGATATAGAATTTTGCACCGTCTTCGGCAACGGCAACAAAAATGACGAGTCGAAAATTCAGGCAGAAGTTGTTATGATATTTTGCTTTTTGGCCGCATGCCAAATGTAACAGCAGAAGTCAAAAAAAAAATTATAAAGCCAGCCATAGGCCTGTGAACGACCAAAACAAAGGCATCCATAATAAAGCGCAAAATATGCCAGAGCAATGTGTCAGTCCAATCAGTCAAGAGTCTATGCACTCCGGGGGGCTCAATTGAGTCATTAGCCAAATTAGTCCCAATTGAAGCGGCCAAAATATAAGACAAATCAATAAGAACGCATATAATAAATATTGGCTTAAATAATTGAAAATAAATTTGAGAAGAAACTTTCAGCCAAAGAAAGAGCCCAAATCTAATATTGGGCCAGCAACTTTCACCTGAAAGAGAGCCCGGAAAAGACAAACAAAACACGAAAAGGAAAAGCGAAAACATGAAAAACGAAAAGCGAAACTCACCCTAAGCAAAGCAAGCCCTACGCAACATGTTCCATGTTCAATGTGCCACAGGCAGCCAAACTGAAGGGTGGCGGCGGCGGCTGTGCGGGGATTGGGGCTGAAAGTGGAGCACGCTCTCTTCACAGCAGCGACAAACAATAAGGGAAATAAACCAAACGAACAAATTTTCATTTGCAGTGGCAGCTGTGAACGCATTTCAGGGTGTAGAGTGTCTGCGTGTGGAGATCTGAGTGTGTGTGTGTGTGTGTGTGTGTGTGTGTGTGTGTGTGTGTGTGACTGACTGACTGATGCGGGTGCTCGGCTAGGCCAATAGCCAATATCAAGTGCGCAACGATGGCCGTTAGGATTTGCAAGGGGATTGGGGTCGCAACTGGCGGATGATTTGAGTGCGGGCAACTGGTGCCAAGGGCGATGCACAGCCAAATGGACGCGACTGACAATGGGCAAGCAGTAACAGTTGACAACGCGGCGTATGCGCGATGCGCGTGGCGAGACGTTGCGCTGCCTCAGCTGATGTTGCTCTTGCCACAAACTGCCTGAAACACTGACACACTGAACGAGTTTTTGTGCACACACACACACACACCCCCAGTCAGCCACATACAGAAGAAACTCTCGTTTGCTTCCTTTTTGCAGGCGCATGTGTGTCTGTGTATCTTATGGATACAGAATTTATGCTTGCCAATTGCTCGCTTATGTTTATATTTAACGCTTTTATTATGATTGCGGCTGCCAATGGCACAGTGAGAGAAACTTACCCCAGTTTATGGCTGCAATTTTGTATTATTTATGAACACAATGCCTTTGGATACCAGCTTTGAAAATTTATAAACTTATTAACTTGAACCGCCAATTTCCGTACGAATCGATTTGCAATATGCACGATTAATGTTTAAACAAATCACAAGCCGCATTTGTTTATACGAATTTCATGCCAACACATGCGATCTACACACATATATTTATTAATATATATATCTTAGAATGAATATTGAAAATGCTGCCTGGCGTATTTATCGAGCAGGTTTTTTGCGCGCGACGTGCCAAGCAAATTGAAAGGCAGCTACGACAACGTCGCTGCTCGAGAGCCGAAAAGCGTATATACAACAAAATATTTGGTGTGCCTTTGTGAGGATTGCACACACAGAGACGCACACACGCATACATGCACACATTTCAAGAGTTGAGCAATCCGCGGCCAAAAACAATCAGATGAAAAACATACCAAATTTCCCAAATTGGCGTTGCCACTGTTTTCCTCCATGCCCAACACTACATATGTTTTCCAACTATATTCGATCTAATTGGATGTTCGTATATATATATATTTAAATTAATTGATAGTGAGAAATGTTTTTGAATTACTGTTTCTTTTTGTAAACTAAAAAAAAGAAGAATCTATTTGACGTATATCTACATGAGCATCTGGCAGCTTTGTGCCGGGGAAAACTCTCGCAGCTTTTCCGCCACAGGCATGCGCATTAAGCGCGACCAATTTTCCCTCTGCACCGAGCCCCATGTCGTATGAGTAATCGACAGTTGCTCAGTGTGAGGCGCAACATTTTCGAGAGTGTGATAAGACACAGTTACGATGACGACAACGGGCCTACGCACAATTCCATACTTTCACTTTCCCAAAAAACGAGAGGGAGAGGGCAAAAGTCACAAAACGTAAGAGAGAAAGAACGTGCGTGGATGTCGAGGCATTTTCGTAGGGAGAAGTTAGGCCTTTCGGGCCCTAGACAACTGAGCGCTGCGTTGAGTGAGGTAGGAAATTTATTGCTGTTATCAGCCGCACGCACACTCACAGACACACACGCAACCAGTCAGTCCGCGGGAAAGGCAAAACAAACAAAAATCGGACAACGGCAACTAACGAAAACTAGGTCAAATCCCAGCCAGCACCCAAACCAACCACAGCAGCCAGCAAGGTGGCTCCATACAACTATGGACAAGAATTTCGTAATGAAATGCATTTTAAATTGCAAGACTGTGAAAAATTATAATTTAAGGGCATTTCGTAATATGTTCTATGTTCTTCAAATTGGGTAAAACGCGATTGTTTCTAAAATTGCCAGAATCTTACTTCCGACTCAACCATTGCTTACGTTAACTTAAGATTGTAACTTAAGATTGTATTGTATATTTGTATAGAAAAGGTTGGCAAAATTTGACATCATAAAATATGCATGGGGAAAGCATTTTAAATAACAATCGTGTTTTTCTTTATTTCAGGATTTGATTAGAAAACTTGTCATTGTTCTGGTTTCCGGAACCAACATTAGATTCTTAATTTGATTTACAAACAACATGGATTTATCAGCTTTCTTCGAAAAAGTTTAAGTTTCAATATTTTTGTGTTGTTTTTTTTTTGTTTTTTTTTGCTTTTTTTTGTTTTTTTTTTTTGTTTTTTTTTTTGGGAAAATTTAGTCGTACTTTGTTGATACTTTTTTCTAGCTATTGAAAATATTTGAAGGCTAAAAGTTTTGTTTTGCATTACATCAGATGGAAAATTACAGCAAATTTTCCCTTGCACATTGCTCACTCTGATGTGCCGCTACAAGGACCAAAAGTTATTGCGAAAACTGGACGCGAATTTATCAATTATTGGACTATTTGATTCTTTCATAGGGGTTTATGCTACTTTCTTGAATTCCTAATTCTATTTGTATGAATCTGTGTGTGAATGTGTGTGCATATATGTACATACCGTGCACAATCTATATGTGTGGGTGAATTGTGTGTGTGTGTGCGTGTGCTTATAATGTTCATGGGTCCGCCGATACACCAGTGGTTATGAGGGCACTTTTTGGGATGCTACCGTTTCGTCGCTTAATGGCAATCTTGGCCACGCCTTTCTGACACTCGGCAGAGCCGCCCATCAGCACCATGAAGAGACCATTGTGTGCCATCGTGTTCCATACTCGTTCAATAAAATGATCCAGCTTAGCAGCTGTGCGCTCAGCGCTCTCTAGCACAAAATCCTGCTCGGGCACAAGAAGATTGGCAATGGTCAGCGCATTCTCCAGCGCTATTTCGTTAACTTTACGCACCGCCTCCTTGGTTGTGGAGACCTCGTGCACATAAACCGATTTGCAACTGTCCTTTGAAGCAGCCTGTTCCGCCTTTCTAATAACCTCCTTAAGGCGCGGCTGCAAATCACCAACAGTCACAATAGCCGTGCGCTTGTCCCGCTTGGCCGCATGGGCAAACAAATTATTTCTGAGGCCATCGCCGCTGGTGGCACGTATCACGTCGTGAATGCGCTTCCGCTGCGTGAGAATCTCGTCACCAAACTCAATGCTGTTGGCCAGCTTCATCTTGACCAGCTTGAGTGTGGCGCGCGAGTCCTCAATGGAGTCATGGCCATCCTCATTCTCCTGTATGCTCTCCTGCAGGAACCTCTTGGCCAGGTGCTTTAGTTTACTTTTGCGTTTGCGCACGCCGCTGATATTGAAACAAACACTGGTATCTATCACGTACGGATGCATCATACGCATGGCATTCAGATCTGAGTTGAGGGATTGACCAACTAGTATCGCGTCCGCTGGTAGAAGCTCCGACACTTCACGTTGCACATCTGCCAGCGTTTTCGTCACAGATTCCATAATATCAGCCGTTATGCCCGAGTACTGTGTGAGGTAGTCGGTGATTTTGTTGACGGGACGAACCAACGTCTCGTACACGGTCTGATATTTTTCGTCCACGATGGAAATACGCGTCAATTCGTTCGCCCCAGATATGGTGCGACACATCTCACAATCGACACCATACATAGGACTGCAATCCGTTACAGGCGCATATGATTTCTTTGTGAACATGAAAGACTTGAATCGGGCGTGCAGCTCGCCTTGTAGAGGTATGGGATAGCCTTCGTCGACCAATTGCAATGCCGAAAGCAGCAGCTTGGTGCGCGGAAACTTGTCATCTGGGTGCAAAACTGTCGGCTCTGTGAGCGCGGACGGCGACTGCTTCTCAATGGGAAAAATTGCCTTTACAAAAAGTGTGGGATCCTTGTTCAGCTCCACGGCCGATTCCAGAGAGCCATGTTCGTTGATTAACTTTTGAGCCTGCACATTGGTAAGTGGAATCTAAAAGAAGAGATCAGCTGGGCTTCAGTGGAAGCTGTATATTTGGGTAATGTACACAACTAACCTGAGCAATTGCATCAATGATCCTGCCTTCATCATGCGGCGGAAGCACTACCTCCAGCTTGGTATCGAATATTTTATTGGTAGCTTCGAATCGGCTCTCATTCGATATATAGTGATAGAGCGACAAGCCATCTAGTATAAGCACCACGCTATGCGACAGGCTTTGGAACTTATCAGCACAACACCAGCGGTCGGGCGCACAAGGACTCTTCTTACCAATGAGCGCCGACATCAGCAGATGCTGTATATCTGTCAAAAAGATAGGCGTACGCTCCTGCTGCGGTATTTCCAGAAGCGCACGTCTGCCCATATCACGTAAATGGACACCAGGCACGCTTTCCAGTTCGCGCTTACGGCGTCGCAGATCCGTGGACAGAGACCTGTATTGTTCCTGGGTAAGGGTGGCCGGCAAACTGTCAAGTGTATTGTCTCCGCCAGCTGAATTGTTGCGGCTGCGTTTTATTTCGGGCTCACCGGGTTCCACCTCGCCACCATCGGCAGGATTAGCGGCAATTGTGTCACTGTTGCTGTCTGCCACAATTGTTAGACGATTCCGTGTCTTTCGCTTGCTGCGCACTGTGACAAAACCATCATCCTCCTCCTCATCGTTCTCGGTGTCACGGTGCTTCTGCTCAGACTCATGAATGCGATCCCTGTCGTTCATCTGTATTAGATTTGCCAGCGCGGCCAATTTTTTCTTCTTTTTCTCATTGCGCTCCTGCTGCTTGGATGATTGTTGATCTTTCATCTTCATTCGCCTGTTGGTTAAACTGAACAACGCAAGGAAAATGAAAACACATGTGAGTTTTATAGTTGTACCGAATCGTTTGGAACAAGTTCGATTAAACGAACCATTGATGTTCACATAGTTCGATTGCGCTGTTAACATTTTGCTCGCCTGTTATTAACAGCATACTATTTTGAGTTAATTCGTTTTCAAAAACCCTTCTACCAGCAAGTGTAAAATGGCGTAAACTATACATATTAAAATTAATCATCTCTTTAGTGGCGCCCGATTTTAATTAAAGACGGAGTGTGTTTTGAATTTACAGCTAACAGAATCCAAAGCTGCCGATAACACTTTACAGAATTACTCCTCACTTAACAGAACTGCTCAACGATAGATAAACGAAAATACAAAACTGCTGGTCAGCCCACATTAACCGTTAACTTCCCGCGTGTTTTTAATAAAATCTGCGAATGAACTCTAAAAACGTAAAAATTCCACGTATGACTGTTTATCTCAACTAAGTTGTGAAAAAAAATGTATACTGCAGTTAAGCCTCTTTCGAAATACTTGCAACTAAAGTCGGTTCGCATTTACGATGGAGTATTCACGTTGCACGCAAAAGTCACATGCGCTCTATTGTTGGCGTTTACGGTTCTGCTATCCGCGAAGCAATACTTTGGTGATCCTTTGATCTGCATCTCCAACATGCATTCAATGGATTTTGTTAACTCCCACTGCTGGACTATGGGAATGTACATAATGAACTACGATGACGACGCCTTGGCGGCTGACCGGGAAGAAAAAGTTGAGCTTCAGTACAAGCGCAGCTTTGAAACTGAAGAATTTAAGCCAACGATCGACAGCAATCTACTGTTCAATACGGCACCGCTGCTGCCGTCTGCTAAGGGACAGGAGCGCGTCTTTCTGCGCTACTACCAGTGGGTGGTGCCGGTGCTGTTGCTGCAGTCGTTCATCTTCTACCTGCCAGCGTTTCTCTGGAAGATATGGGAAGGCGGACGACTCAAAAATCTCTGCGCCAATCTGGACGATGTGCTAGTATCGCGCGAAAAGACCACCACGCAACTGCGCAAGGTGGCCAAATACTTTGCTAGCGACTACAAGGATTCGCATCTGCGCTACTTTGTCTCCTACATGTTCTGTGAAGTGTGCAACTTTGGCATTAGCGTAAGCTACTCCAGCTCCCAAAGCTAAAAGCTTAATTAATACTTTCACTTTAGATTGTCAACATGCTGCTGCTGAATGTGTTTTTGGATGGCTTCTGGGCGCGCTATGTAAAGGCACTGGCCGCTGTGCCTCAGTACAACTGGGATGCGTGGAATCGCATTACCGCTCACATATTTCCAAAGATTGCTAAATGCGAGATTTTAAAGTTTGGCGCCAGCGGCACCTTAGAATCAGTTGATAATCTGTGCCTACTGCCACTCAACAATTTGAATGAGAAAATCTTTGTCTTTCTGTGGGTCTGGTTCATGATAATGGCTTTATTGGCCGGCCTAAAGATTATCTATCGTCTGTTCATACTTTTCCATCGTGGACTGCGCTTTCAGCTGCTGCGCACGCAGTCCCGTTTCATGCAACAATCTTCGTTGAAGTGTGCCTTGCGCGGCTTTAGCTGCGCCGATTGGTTTATGTTAATGCGCGTGAGCAACAATATAAGCCGTGAACTTTTTTGCCAGTTAATGGTACTGCTGGAGGAGGAGAGGTGTCCCACCAGCAAGCCAATTTCACGTGGCGTGGACAGCCCCTAAATTTGGACCTCATCATAAACTATTCATTTACAAATGATACCAATCATTATCTGCTATATAACTCTTGTCACGAATGACGACTATTATATAATTACCTTTTGAGAATTTCTCTTAATATTTAATTTCTCGATATGAACGAATTATCGAATCGTTACTTTACTTTAATCTTGAACTAAAAAACAATTCAAACGAATAAAAAGATTTTTTGTTTCTTAACTTTGTAAAATTATAAATCTGCGTCTTGCTGTTCTAAACTCTAGAGCTATTCTTAAGATAAAGTATGTTTCTATTTGGTGTACTCACCATTCGTTCTGGCTCGGCTGGGAATATAGAATTGTACCGCACATCTTGCTCACCCGTTGTGTGAGGTGAACTAATCGCAGTAGTTGATAAAGCAGACACTTTACTGAATTTTGCATCAATTTTTTGTGAGTGATTTCTGTGTGATAGAACAGTTAGTTATTCATATTTAAATGAAATATAATTTATATAGTCACTTGTGCTATTTACTTACATTAAATCTGATAATAAAATTTTGATTCGGACTGTTTCCTCGGAAGTTTTCATGGAGGTTTTTTTATCAACGGGTATATTTATTTGCGTGTCTGTTTTCTAGGTCTTTAACTAAAAAAATGTTTTTGATGTACGTTTTTAGTGTACAAAATTTGTAAAATGACGACTAAAACCCTATAAGTCAAGGCTTGCTCGACCCCAACAAAGGGCATTGCCACCCATTCCAATTGATATCGGTGAGCTGGTCGCATGGGTGGGTGGTTCGTTGCTCTGCGATTCCCTTCAACTTGCACTCTTGACGCATTTTTCTGCATCGCTCGCAATTCGTTTGCCATTTTCATTAACCAAAAAATTGTAAAGTTCAAAACATTTTGTACACAGCACAGCAAATTGCACCTAAAAACTGGGTCGACGTCGTCGTCGACCATAAGCTGATCCACTTTCCGAAAGCTTCATAAGCGCGTCCAGCGTCGACAATGTCTTCAGTTGCCGTGTGGAGCCGGTTGAAACGCGCGGAAGTCGCTCGCATTGGAAATCGTCGTGTCATCGTGTCGTCTGATACCGTATACCCGGTCAGCCCTTTGGATTACCCAGCACTTGTTGCTGCTGATTGCTTTCGTTTTTTGTTTGAGTGAATCGCTGTAATCGGATGCTCCTTTTGGTAGCCCATTGTATAATAAACAAATGCTAAAAAGTGAAACTAAGATAATTAATTAAAATCTCAAATAAAAACTGTGTCAAATTCTGTTAAGTGAATTAAAATATATCATTCAGACATGCTTATAATATTAATTTGGAAATAAAGTGCCATCAAGTTAATCAGTATTTAGTAAAATGAAACAAAGTGTGGATGGTAGGTGATCTCGGATATTGCATAACATTCTTAGAATAAATACAACTTGTCATTTTAATTACTTTTTTGACTGAAATTTAGCCTGTTTGCCGCAAGCATTTGTCAGATTTTTAAGCTTATGTTTCCATTTTGTTCAATTTGACAATTTATTAAATCAGCAATTCTGCATATTGCGAAATTGGTCTGTTAAGAACTCGCTAAACAAAAAAAAAAAAAATATGTTGATAAAAATTGGTTGAATTTGGTAAAATTAATACTTGTAAACACAAATTTTTGCACGGCTACACTAAAATATTTTATTTGAACACCTACAATATAGCCAGATAGGGTGAGAGTCGACTAAGTTATACCCTGTCTGAGTTGCACATACCGAAATGTATAACTTTTAACTATCAATAAAAGAGACAGACTGCAAGAAAGTTCATTAGAATAAGAGTATGAGCATAAAAACTGTATGAAATTGTCAACATAACTTGTTAAGCTAATACAGAATTTAATGAGAATCGCATAGTAAGGCAGTATTTAAAGAACACGTTACTTGTGTGTGAGTAAAATTAGTTTGCAATGAGAGCGAAAGCTCTCGTAAAGCGAAAACTTTGAGTGCGTCTTTGTTTAAAAAAATATTTGACTACGATCTTATACACTTTCTCAGAGCTGGAGGCCAAGCGTACGCAGCGTGTTCCTCGTCGCTGCTGTCTTTTTCGTCTGCCCTGCACACGTATCCTGATCATATCCACATTGGTACTTATTACGTTGATGATCTCATTGATATATCATGGCATTGTACTCGAACGCATGGGTAAGCACAGACGCCAGAGCAGCCTCATCTTAGCATCAAAATATGATTACCACTTGCAGATCACCTGCGTCAAATAATGGCGCTCAATGAAAAGCACGCACACAACTTGCAACCCATCGATGAAGATGTCCTTACAAAAAGACCACAACTACAGCCTTTTCACATTCCGCTAAAGAAAGAGGATCCTGAGAGAATAGCTACCAAGAGCGAGGAGCAGTCATTGCGCTTAAAGCATATGCGCTTCAAGTTTCGAATGAAGCGAAAGCTTCGACTACCTCGTAGTTTGCAGTCTGTTGATCTGATTGATCCCCTCCAGCTGGAGGCCAACATGCAGCATCTGTATACAAGGATGCGCAGCAAACGTGCCAGGGCTGCGCTCAGCCAGCTGGAGAGCGAGTACGTGCGATGCAAGAAACAGACTCCAGAGGACTGCATGTCGGCCTTTATGCGCATGTACCAGATGGCCAAAGAGGTTACCGAGAAAATGGACAAGATGAAGGAAATTATAAGGGATCACCTAGGATCCCATAGCATTGAGTCGCATGAGCTTCATACATATGCACCAGCCAAGAAGACCAGAACAACAGTGGACCAGCAACAGGAGGTGACAACTCCGCTCACAAATGTCAGCGTGGCTGGCAACGGAGACAACGAGGAGACAACGCTGAAGCCCAATAGAGTTAAGATTAAACCAGCACAAATCAGTTGGATCATCGATGGTCCTGGCCACGACGAGCAGGAGGCCTATGTTGAGAATACGCCGAGAGCCATGGATCAGATCAATATGACCACAACGTTGGCTACGACAACAATGGAGAGCACAACGCCAACAACAACAATAGAGAGTACCACATCAACTAGCAGACGCAGTAGCTCCTCCGCCACCACAGAGGAGAACACAATGGCTACAACATCAATAGATGCCACCACATCAAGTAGTAGCAGCAGCATTAGCTCCTTCACCACAGAAGAGAATACAATGGCTACAACCTCAATAGATGCCACCACATCTAATAGTAGCAGCAGCAGCAGCTCCTTCACCGTTACCACGAACCAGCCCTTGGCCATTCTAACCACTGATGGACTAGACTCGGAGAATATTACAGATCAAATCACTTGGGTTCTGGACCGCTTCGATAAGGCCAAAGAGATTGTACACACCACAGAGGGAACTAATGAGAAAACAACAGAGACAGGCACAACAGAGAAAACAATTTCGCCTCAGGTTGTGCTACAAGAGACAACCAGCTTGCCAAGCTTTGAAATTCAGCCGGGTCCATTGCACTCCGATGACCACAGGGCCCAGCCCAGCGCCAATACAACCATCGCGCCTACAACAGATGCACCCGAATCATTCACAAAAGCAACCACAGGACTGAACGCGACGAACGTAGAAAATAAAGACATGCTGCCGGGCTCCACTACGTTAAGTCCAACCATAATGCCCATAAGTACAGTCAATACAACCACAATGCCCATTACTACGCTTAGCCCAACCACAACGACCGAAGCTGTGGATGGGCTCAATCGCACCGCATTTCCGACCAAGCCCAAGCCAATGAAGATCAGTTGGATTATTGACAGCGACGCCAGCAGCAATGAAGTGAATAGCACAACCCAAGCTGCAGCCACTGAAACCAGCACTGGAACCATTACTGAGACCACCACCGAATCCACCACTGAAGGTGCTCGTGCGGTGCATCCGTTGGATGATCCCAGCAGCATAGAAAACATGCTGGACAGCTTTGAGCGCCATAGGCAGGAGAAGCCTTTACTCAAAGTACTGCCCAGCAACGAGCAAGAGAAGCCTACTATCCAAATGCTGCCCAACAATGAGACCACAAACCATGAAGAGTCCAAGACTCCGAATGTCTATGATCGCAATCATTGGCTGCAGAAGTTCGAGCAGGATGCAGCACCGCCACAGGACGAGCTTATCGACACTTTTGGCACGGAGCTGGATGCCAAGAGTCTGCAGCAAATGGGGCCCAAAATAAACCCTATCAGTGGCAAGGTGCCAAATGGTAAAACAATTGCAGCTAGCCTGTGCTGTTCACAGTTCTGATATATACTTACTATTTCCTTCCAGCCGCCGATGCACAGCTTATGTCGATGTGTGCACAATTAACACGAAGACTGCGACAAAAGGCGGCCGCAGAGGGCGGCTCCGGTGAGCTAGAACCGTTTACTGCCTCGCCCAGCGTGCAGTTTACTAGCCGCGGACCGGGGGGCTTTCCGGTCTCTGGCGAAACAATGAAAGCCTCCGCCCAGTTCATGTTCAATCCGAACTTTGGCATGCCCAGCATACCTGTGTGCTTCTATATGACACCCGCCAATTTCCGCATGCCGATGTGGTCGCCCACGCCTTCGTTTATGGGCATGCAGGGCGCCCACTTTGGTGGCTCGTCCAATGCCGGCGGCATATTCTTTGTACCGCAGCAATTTGGGCCATCAGGCAATTTCTTTGGCGGCAGCGGCGGTACAGCGAGCGGTGCACAGAATCAGCTGCCCAACATCTTCTCGAAGAACGCATCACCACAGAAGCAGCAAAATGGACAGCAGCAGGTCTACTGCACCTACATGCAAAACCAGCAGGCACAAGCCGGACAGGGACAAACGATGCAAAACAATTTGTCGTCTGGCAGCCAGGCGGGCTTCTCCAATGCCAATTTCAAGATGCGGCATGCCAATCAGACCGGCATGGCCCATCACAGCCAGATCATCTACGCCTCCTATCTGGGTTTGCCGGAACAGTCGCAGCAGCGTTTCAAGTGCCCGGAAGCGGATCAGCTGGCCTGCTATGGTCAGCAGGAGTGCATTGCCGCATCGCGCTGGTGTGACAATGTCATCGATTGTCCTGATGGCAGCGATGAGTCGGCCTGCACCTGCGCCGATCGACTGGATGAGGAGCGTCTGTGTGATGGCTATGCGGACTGCCCCATGGGCGAGGATGAGCTGGGCTGCTTTGGCTGTGAGTCTCTGGCGCACTCCTGCTACGAGAATGCCGAGGAATATGCGCGACACAATCGCTCCACCTTGTCCATGTGCTACAGTCGCCACGAACGCTGCGATGGTTTTCAGAACTGCTTCAATGGACGCGATGAGCTGCAGTGCAGCATGCTGCTCACAGATGTTGGCCATCATATGGTAAGCTCAAACAGTACTGCTATAGAGATTACTCTTAGTAAACTTTCCTGTTGCTACTTAGTCACATGCAGCTTCTGCTTCGGAGGGCTATCTGTATCACAATCATCGCGGCGATTGGTATCCTGTGTGCAACAATGGCGCTAGGTGGGCGGCCGCCGCCTGTGAGTTGGAGGACCTTAATCAATCCGCAAATCTTACGTTCAAGCAGCTTACGCTGTCGGGTCCGTTCATAGAGCCCTCGTTGCATGCAGGCATACACTTTGCCCAAGGCTGCCATGGACGTAATGGCCAGGACACGCTGGTCGATCACGTTGCCTACGTCAAATGTCCGCCTCCGCAGTGTGGCCTGCCTAGCAAGCCTAGTGAGAGTGGGCGCGCAAAGCGCACGAAGAGGGCACCCATTGAGGATCGCCTTGAGTCGAATAAAGGTCGGATCGTGGGCGGCAGCTATGCAAGTCCCTTACAATGGCCCTTCGTAGTGGCCATCTACCGGGATGGCAAGTTCCACTGTGGCGGCACCATCTACTCGGAGCATTGGGTAAGTCTGGACATTTAGAAGCCACCTCTACTTAGCATCATCTTCCACCAACGCATAGATCATCAGCGCGGCGCACTGTGTAATCAACTATATAAAGTATTACTATGAGGTGCGCGCTGGACTCTTGCGCCGCACCAGCTACTCGCCGGCTACTCAGATACAAAGTGTTTCCCATGTGGTGGTGCATCAGGCTTACGAGCGGCGCAGCATGCGCAACGATCTCTCCCTGTTGCGCGTTGCGACACCGCTGCAGTTCAATCGCTGGGTGAAGCCCATTTGCCTGCCAGATATGGGGCGTACCACCTTTGGCCAGGACTGGATCTGGGGTCCAGAGGAGCACACGCTCTGCACAGTCATTGGCTGGGGCGCCATAAGGGAGAAGGGTCCAAGCAGTAGGTGTGCGTGGGATCATATTTGACAAATCATACTTAATTTTGTATCTGCTGCAGGTGATGCCATGCGCCAGGTCATTGTGCCCATACGCAAGGACTGCACGGATCCCGAGGATCGGGCTTCTGAGGACGTTTGTGCCGGTGAGCCGGGTGGTGGTCGCGATGCCTGCCAAGGCGATTCGGGTGGACCGCTCTTCTGCCGAAGCGTTAGTCAGCCGGAACAATGGTATTTGGCGGGCGTCGTCAGCCACGGCAATGGCTGTGCGCGTCCCAAAGAGTTCGGCGTCTATACACGTGTTGCCCTCTATCTGGACTGGCTGGAGCTAGCCGTGAAGCCCGGCTTGCTTCCAGCTCGCCAGCCGCTGCAGCACTGTCCGGGATTCATTTGCGTTTGGGGTGGCAAGCGTTGCATTTCCCAGCGTTTGCGCTGTGACCGCAACGTGGACTGCCTGGGCGGTGAGGATGAAGTGGGCTGTGCCTACAACTTTATTCCCGACATGGTGGGCAGCCAGCAAACTGTAAGCAGCACCACAGAAAGCGACTATTATCCACAGAAACAAGCGGCAGCAGACGACCAGGAAGCACAGCAGACGGAGCACAAGCAGCGTCAGGATGTTTCTATTGAAGATGCGGATTTGATTGCGCATATGCTGACAGCGCCAACAACCGAAAATGAAACCAAACAGTTCGGCTCCACTCCAGCAACAGCACAGAGTGATACCTGGACAATAGCTGAGGAGAGCAGCACGCCTGCAGTAGAGAATGAAGCGGAGCCTAACAACACGACTTCAGCCACTTCGGAAACAACAACCTTAGTGCAAACGACAACAACAGCAACAACAACATTGCCAAACAGCACTATGCCCACAACTTTGCCGCCGCCTACAACAACCGCTTGGCCCACTCCGACCGAGGATTTGATGAAACTGACGGATCTGATGAGCCAGCTGCTCGAAGAGTCAACAACTGCAACAACGGTCGAGCAACTGGCAAACACAACGCTGTTCGCGCTCACGACAGATGCGCCCAATAAGGGCACAACAACACTTGGAACAACAGCTGCAACAACAACTGACGCTGAGAGCACAACTTTGGCGGCGTTCACAGCCGCAGACTACAACACAACAGAAGCTGTGACACAGCCCACAACAACAGAGGCAACTACAACTTTGGCAACAACAGAGACAACTTCAACTGTGGCAACAACAGTAACAACACCCGCAACAACAACTTCACACGCATCACAGCCAACTGCATCAACAACACTAACAACATCAACTACACCAAGAACAACAGCATCAGCTGCAACCACTAAGCAGAGCACAACAGAGCGCAGCAAAGTCAGCGAGGCGGAGAAGCAGCTGCCCAATAAGTTCATCTGTCGGAAGTAAGTCATACTCCCAGCTGATAGTTGTGTAGTTTATAAATTATAAGTGCCTAATTTTAAATGTCCAGAATGCCTCAAATTGTGGATCTACAGCATCGCTGTGATCGCAGAGTGGACTGCGAGGATGGCACTGACGAACTGGACTGCAGCTGTCGTGACTATCTCAAGGGCGGCCTCAGCACGCTTATTTGCGATGGCAAAGCCGACTGTGAGGATCTGAGCGATGAGCAGAACTGTGGTAAGTTCAAGGCAAGAGAGCCACAGAGCCACTGCAGCGCTTAAAGTGAAATTTATGTAACTGCAGGTGGCTGCCAGGAGCACGAGTACCACTGCGCGCTGTCCAAGAGCTGTCTGCCGCTGGCCAAGCGCTGTGACAAAGTTGTGGATTGCAAGTTCAGTGAGGACGAAAAGGATTGCTGTATGTTGTTCCGCCCAGCTCCAGGCTCGCAATTAACTTGTTAACTCTCAATTCACAGTTGCCTTAACCAACGGTCATGATGTGCACTTCGATGCGCATCAGCAGCCCAAGTTCAGCAGCGTTGGCGTCTTCTCGAAAAATACGCACGGTTCGTGGCGCGTGGTTTGCGCCCATGAGACGGGCTTCCATGAGCACCAGGCTAAGACGGCGGATACAGTCTGCGCCTTGCTGGGCTTCAGGGGCGCCCAATACTACAACAGCACAGAGTTTGTCAGCCAGCAGGAGATGCATCCCATTACCCCAGAGCTCATCAGGTCACATTCTGGCAGCCAGCTGCGAGCGCTGATGCGGGACAATGTCCAATTGACCAGCACGGAGATGGTCCTGCCGAAGCATGCACAGCAAATGCCGCACGGGCGACAAAAGGCGCGCATCGTGGCCAACAAATGTCTGGGCATCTATGTGGAATGTAATGCCCGTTCTAATATGACATTGCCACTGAAAACTTTCAGCGCTGGACAGGTGATAAATCAGCGTCCTGCTGGGAATTTACCGGAGCTGCTGCCAACCATTGGCACGCACAAGAAGCCGAATGTGCACTTTAAACCGCAGCAGCCGGCGCAGCTGGTCAAAAAAAAGGATGAAATTATGGATCGCCTGGACATGCTGATCAAGAGCAAGAATAACAAGACGCTGCTGGTGCAGGAGCAGCTGCACGAGGCCATTGAGGAGCTGCATTGGCCTTGGCTGGCTGATGTCTATGTGAATGGTGAACTCTGGTGTCTGGGAGTCCTCCTGGACAAGCACTGGTTGCTGGTGCACGAGAGCTGCCTCGCCGGCATAAGGTTTGTTGGGTGCATCTATCAGTCTATGCTAACTTCTGATCCACTCTTATCTTCTGCAGCTTTGATACGCACTACATCAGCGCCTTGCTGGGCGGTGGCAAGACCAAGCGCTCTTTGCACCGCAGCACCTACGAGCAAATACTTCGTGTGGACTGCTTCGAAGCGGTGCCCAGGTCCAATGTACTGCTGTATCATCTGGAGCAGCCGGCAAGATTTACGCACTACGTCCTGCCCACTTTTCTGCCTGAAATGTAAGCACTTGCATTTTTCAATACACTATGCTCACTGATTATCCGTTTATTTCACAGTTCGGATGAACAAGAGAGCGCCCCGCATGAATGCATAAGCGTGCTGCATGACGATTTCACTGGACGCATCAAGACGGTGGCCATTACAAGAGTCAGCAATGATGCCAGCTGCAAATCCTGCTATCAAATGCAGGAGCGTCAGCCCTCGGGTAATTTGATGCGCATGCTAAATGTAAGCGCCGAGGATATGGCATCCATATCGGATGAAGTGGAACTGCTTAGCGGTGTGACGGCCAGGGCGATGCCTGCACTCACCAAATTCACCAGCTGCACGCAATTTGGACAGAGGAATCTGAGTGATGTTCAAGTGCAGCCCAGCGACCAGGGCGTGCTTGTGTGCCGGGATTCGCATACCGGCTGGTATCCTTCGGCAATTTTTAATTATAATAATACCGACTGTCAAAGCTTCAGGGCACCTTTTGGCATTAGGACACTGAACGAGGCCTACAAATCATTGCAGGAAATTATGGGTATATAACTTATAGTTGTGTGTAATTCTAGTTGACTGTTTAACTGCGATATATACTCCACAGATCAACCGCAGTGCAGCAATGTGCAGTCATCGCCTCCATGTGAAACACATCGTTGTCCCCTGGGCGTCTGTCTGCCGCAGTCGGCGCTCTGCGATGGCCGCAGCGACTGTCACGATAGCAGCGATGAGGAGGTGTCCAAATGCCGTGAGCTGAAACAACACTGTGCACCGGGCGAAATGAAGTGCCGTACGAGCGCCAAGTGTGTGCCGAAGAGCAAATTTTGTGATCATGTGCCGGACTGTCAGGATATGACGGATGAACCCACAATTTGCAGCTGCTTTACTTATTTGCAGTGAGATATATACAGCTTGATATTGATAAAGTAAATACTAATGACATTGATCCCCTTTAGGGCCACGGACCCTTCCAAGATATGCGATGGCAAGCGCAATTGCTGGGACAAGAGCGATGAGAGTTCGGTGCTGTGCAACTGTACCGCGGATCACTTTCAATGCAGCTCGTAAGTCAACTACAAACAGCACTTGGGGGCTCGCCTTTGACTCATTTTATCTTTAGCTCTCCTGAGGATTGCATACCACGTGATTTTGTGTGCGACAAGCATCCTGATTGTCCCAACGGCGAGGATGAGCGCTTCTGCTTTGGTATTGAGCACCCGCTGCAGGAGCAGCAGCAGGATTACTGGGCGCATAGTGAATATAGTCACAAGAAATTAGTATCACAGTATGGCCAAGTAATTGAACAAACATATGGCATTTGGCACACCAAATGCTTTCCCAAGACCTCGCCACCCAGCATATCCGAAGTGCGTGATATCTGCAAGAAGCTGGGCTACAATCCGGATCGATTTCCCAGCTATCGCCTCATAGATGATGCCACCAACGAGGCCAAGCACACCTTTGAGGTAGCTGACAGACGAGGTCGCGCTTTCGGCAATGACACATTGGTCGGCAAATATCGGGACTCCACAAAGGCGCTGATCGTCAGCAAATTTTCGCCGTTGCAGCTTAACGAACAGCTAACGCTGTTCCTCAAGCCTAGCCGGCCCATTGCTGAGCTCGTTAGATGGAATACAACGGATTCGAATCGCTGTTTCAGGCTGGAAATACGATGTGCCTGAATATTTGTTTCCAAACCTATCTAAATCTCGTGATTGTCTTTTTGTACGTTTTAGTAGCAAATAAAAACGAGATTCTTAACATTCTCTACAAAATACTAAAATGTTTTTCTATTTTTTTAAATTATGTTTCAATTTTTTATTTATTTATCATTTTTAATCAGTTGTCTAGTTGCCGCATAATTTTCTGTTATGTATTTATTCATTTTTATTTATTTAATCCTTTTCATTTCCGTTTGTTTTTAGAATTTTAAGTATTTCTGAAGCTGGGTTCCTGAACTTGATTATGTTTAACAAACAAATTTATGTTTTTATAAATGTAAAAAATCGCATGTTTTTTCTTGTTTAGTCAAAATTTAAACAATTGAATACTTAAAGCACTTATCATAATTTCTGTTTTTTTTTTTTTTGTTTGGTTTAGTTTGTTAAATATAAATTCGTTAAAAAGATTTAAGATTGGTTTCTTTTCGAAAAAAAGGTACGTCAGAATCATAAATATCAAGTTTCTTAAGAGCAGTTAAACACCATGTGGGGATTAGTCCAGTTTTGATGTTGTTTTATAAGTACAGTTAACAATAGTTAAGTTTAAATATATAAGTATTTTAACGAGCATCATAGTTATCTTTTTAATTTTAAAGAAGGCTGGGTATAATTTTTGTTTAAGTTAGTTTTTTAATAAGTCTTTGGCGCTGATTACAACAATATAAGTGTGGGAATACTCTTAGTAAATTTAAGTAAATTAAATGAATTTTAGGGAACTTTAGACAATTATATCAAATATTATTTAGGAAAGTTTCATTTATAAGTGAATTTTAGTTCATTATTTGTTTGTTGTTTTTTATACAAATAAAAAACAATATTTTTCTTTATAATTTCAAATTGAATCACAAATGTTTTTTATATATTTGTTGTATGTATGAATAATACTTAGGCTAATGTTAGTGTGTGTTATTAAGATTTGCAATTTGGTTAGTTGTGTATTTTAAATGTGCGTATTTGTTTTAAGTGTAGTGAGCGCATTGAAAAGCTATGCTAGAGTGTGGCTTATAAGCTTCCGAGTGTGGTTGTGAGTGATTGGTTTCAGGGTTTAGAATCAATACAGTACATAGTAGATATAGGCATAAAGTTTTTAACACAACCTTTTTCGCGATTCTAGGTTTAGAGCTTTAGAGCGAAAGCGTAAAACGGTAAAACTATTGGCCAATTATCAAAGCCCAGTTGCTTATACTAAATTCATTTTAGGCTTCATTTGCAGCTATTTCCATTTGTAACTTTCTTGCCATTATGCAAAACAATTTTCGGATCTTAAATATCGTTTACGTTGTCATGAAACACAGCAGTTTGTATATTTACATGTACATTTTTATAATTTATAAGTACCTATCAAATTAGTTGCTGTCACTAATGTTATGGCATCATTATCATATTCATTATCATTTTAGTTTAGGAATTTCGTAAACATTACTAACTACATAATTTGTGTGTTAAATGTTGTTGTTGCTAAAACTCTTAATGAAATAGTTGGTGCGTTTTTATTTACAGTTTGTATATATATGTATATATATATATATATATGTATCTAGTATTTGTTATCGTAAAGAGTTAGTATAGTTAGTATATGCTAAGTAGGTATATTAAAGCTTAGGAAGTTAGTAGATTTCACTGCAAGTTTTCACGGTTTTCTTCACACTGATGAGCGCCCCTGTCTAAATTAAATTATATTTATAATAGGTGGTTAAGTATATGATGTTGTTTCAGTTAAATATACAAATGTATTTCAAGTTTTCTTATTTCAGCCTGGGAATCATAGCTGTCAGTTTCGCATTCCCTCAGCTCTTCAAACAAAAAGATATTAACTCTTATATTCGTTCTCTCTTCTGCTAGAAAGTATGCTAATGGTTTTTAGAAGTTTAATTCAGCCCAAGAGCATGTTGCAAGTTCGTCTTCAGACAAGTTAACTCTTTAAAAAAAAATGGCATTTTTCTGAAAAGCTTGTAGCCCGAAACTCAAGAGAGTTTATCTTAAGAGCTTGGAATATAATTCAAATATTGAGAAAAAAATTTAATAAAGAAACTCAAAAAATAATATTCAATAAATAAATCATATATTTTACTAGAACTTTCACAACGCACACAGTTGATGCTTAAAAACAAATCACTGATTAAATAAATAACTAAACAAAAGTTAAGCAAACACCTTTAGCAGATGACGTCATTTGTGAAATTTGTGCGCTTTCTGGGCCCATTAAAACTTTGGCTTAGGCTAAAAATTAAAAAATAACTAACTAAACATTCAGTTAACAGAAAAGGATAGTACACTCAACAAACGAATGAACAATTAAGTAAGAGCAAAACATATAAAACCATAGCTGAATATATCTATATGGAGTTGACTATAATTTCGATCACTGTACGATAACATTGGCTAAATGACGAGTTGATTGATTGAGAGCTTGCGAGTGTTTAAATGTAGATTTGAGTTTCATTTTTTTATAGGTGGCTACTTCAGCTTTCCCTTCGTTCCCTGCTTTCTCTTCATTCCTTACATATGCTCTCTGGTCTGTTGTCTCTGTTCCGATGTCTAGAAGAGCAGAAGCTGGCCACGAGGTTCTTAAGTACTTTTCTCTTTACACTTTTCCGTCCCATTGCTCTCTTCAATAGGTGGTGAATCCAGCTGGGTGCGGACCAAATGAGCTGGCAGACCCATATTGATGGGATCATTGAGACGTCTCAGATTGTATTCCAATTCCGCAGATCTACGCTTCAGTCGATTATAGTGTTCCACATCGAACTGAACTTTTTTGGCATTCTTATAAATGTTCAGCGAGTACTGGCGATTATATACATTCTCCATGATATATTCCTGGCAGGGATGTTGGATGCGATTATTGAACATTATAGTTCCTTGAAATGAGTACAATCTTCGCACTTACTCGCTTGGTTACACAATAGTAGGCGTACATGGCCATTGTCGTGCCATAGGTGACAAAATAGGTCACCGGCTCCATAATATCCCAAGAGTATTCCCACCAGGTTAAGCGCGCGAGTATGCCGAATTGCACGGACATTAGACCCAGGCCCACCCAGGTCATCATATTGGTTCGGCGCTCAGCCTTTTTGAAAAGCTCCATTTTTTTCTGATGTACAAAACAAGTGATAATCGGATTAATCCATAAGATCTATTTTATAGTCAACCAACCTCCTCCAGCGGCTCCAGTTCGTAACGCAGGTTTTCCAGTTCCTTGGCCAATTGATTGCTCTTCTCCAGCTGATACTCGCCCACATTGAAGGCCTCATAGAGCTGCAAAAACTCGGATTTATGTGAAATTCGTTCGGCCTATTTATTGTTTCGCGCACCTGTGCTATGATCTTGCGCACGTCGTCCATCTTGTCAATTTTCTCGGTCGTGATCTTTTCGCGTTCCGGCGGCTTCACATCCAAATTGCGATTGTTTATTTGTATACTGCCATGAAAAATATATCAGTTAGTTGTCCATTTGTGTTTGCGGCACATTTTTTTACACTGTTAAGCTGTCTATGGAAATTTGTTGTGAAACAAAGTTTGGTTTGCTGGATCTTGGGGTAACTATTTAAATTTGAATACAACTTAAGCGTCTCAGGCGCCAGACAAGTGGCAAGCGTCCATGAACAATGGCAGTGGTATATCTAGTTGACGTTGGAATCGTTGTCGGCGCTGTTGTCTCTGTTAAGTGGTGCCATTAAAGCTAGAAGCCCCTGTTCCCTATGCAAAGTTTGGTTCCGCACAAACCTTCCCAAGTTTGCAATAGTGCATACAATTTTATTTTATGCCCACCCCGGAGATGCATTCCATATACATAACTGAGAACGGAAACGAATTTGTGCATTTGTGTCATGCAAGAAAGCCAGTGTAGCTTCTTGGTACTTAGCCCAGGTACTTGGCTCTATTGGCTTGTGGAATGGCCCTATGATTTATAGTGATGCTTGAGAGGCATCTTTTGAAATTCATGGCAACAATTTTATCATACTATTTATTGATTGCTTATCGGCCATGTTTTATATGTTTGAACAGGCCCTGGGCCTCATGTAACGCTAGCTTGACATTGGCGGAATGTGGATTAATTTCCATCATAAAGGTAAGACTGCTCAGATATAAGCAGCAGGTATTATATTGCGGCACTTACCTGAATTCATCGTCCAGCAATCGTTCAATGGTGCAGGAGGAAGCAATGCGCACGCCGTGCTTGTTGATAACCGCAGCACGATCTATGCCCCGATCCTCCTCCCTGAGCATTGTCAGCAGATTCCCAACGGTGTGCGAGATGGGCTTCAAGGCGAACTGGCACAGTTCATTGCGACTTGGCAGGCGAACTGTCAAATGTGGCATGCCATTGATATACTCCAGACTGACATCATCTATGGGGCAAGTGAGTGGAACAAAATAGGGGACATTAAAATCAATCAATAGCTCAAATGATATTTATTTTTAGTTATCTCTACATTACGTAAACTGCTTGAAGATCCCTAAAGCCATACACAAGAGAGATTAATCTTAGTCGAAACAAATGCGAAAAAGTGACTTTTGGCTTTTACTTAATTTCCAAGAAGCTTGCGAGTTAGTTACTTTAACGCCAGCTGCGGCACAAAGTTCTGTTAAGTGTCGAGTCATGATGTGGCAACGTTTCTAACCTAGCCCAACAGTGCTTATGATTGTGCGCAGTTATAGTTATATAGTATTTGTGTCAGATTGCGTTGCAGGCTATTTTTTTATTTCTTTTGTTTTTATTAATTGCCCGCAGAGCTACTCAAGGTTGTTGAATGCAGTTAGTCGTACGAATTGATCGCTGAGGCATGACGCATATGACGCCTGCCCCCAAGCGATGTGGCAAAGATTGGTAGCTGGCTAAAAATGAGCAGATAAGACACAAATGACAGCGGCAACAATTCAATTAGCTGTTGCTGTACTCACACTCACACACACCTCTAAAAATAGTGAGTGTGCGTGCTGATGTTTTCACTTTGTCGCATGTGTGGGCTGCGCTTTTGTGCAGCAGCTTTGAAGTAGCACAAAGCACAAGAGCCTATGCTATATAAATATATATATATTTATATATATAAATGTATATATAGAAATTAATACACATAATTTATATATACATGTTTTCGCTGTGGCACATGCAACACGCCAAGTGGCCAGCGATGCAAGCAGCAGCCCAATAGCTTCTAATAAGAGATTTGCCTCAGTTTAAGCGCATTTACTGGGTCTTAGTTGCAGTTACTGTCTATAAGCAGTAGATGTTGTTGCTGTTGTTGTCGGCGGCGCCACTGAAATGTGGGTAACTAGTGTTGTTGTTATTACTGTTGTTGTTGGTTTTGTTGCTTGGCTAACTGCGCCCAGGTCCATCGCTCATTGCTAGCTGTTGTTGTGATTATTATTTTCATGCACTTTGATTTTTTGGGATTTTAAACACATTTTATATATGTGTTTTATGTTTTCTTTTTTTTTTTTTTTCTCCTTCTACTTCTCTTCTTTTATTTTCTATATATATTTTTTCTGTTTGCGGCTTCTGCTTGATTATTGATAGTTTGAGAGTTTTGTGTTAATTTTCAGTTAACTTTCTGATTTTCGCGCTTGCAGACGTGTGTCTCGGTTTGTTGATCGCTGAGTCGAGTCGAGTCGAGTCTCACGCACACCCACACACGCACACACAACGGCTCTGTGGCTGTGCGTTGTGCTTTGTTGTTTTAGTGTACGTGGCAAGAAGCTATAAAAAAATATACTCGAATGCTATAAACCATATGTGATATAAGCTATGCCCAACTAACTAGCACTAACTAAACTATTAAAAGAATATGGCCAAAAGAAAAAAAAGTTCTATGAACTTGATTCGTGTTTTGCGGTCGTGTCAAAGTGCTGCCACATTGCGTTGCCGCAATCACCCACAAAAGCTGCTGCCTGCCACAACACGCTTACACACTCTCACACACACACACACACACTATTTGATTTGTATGTGGATAGCATTGCCTACAACGCAAAAAGTTCAATTTTGCAAACTTTGACAAGCGGCAAGCGGCATTTGCTCTCAGATAACTAACCACAGGAAACATGACGCATACGCATACACGACACACACACACACAAAATACCCACAACCGAGTTGTGAGTCCTGTCACTGATTTTGTTGTTACCAGTTATATCGTTGTTGCCAAAGTAAACACTAACCATAGAGGTTTTCAACACCCCTCAAAAACCGCAGAGCGTGCAGGGGCGTGCAAACATTGATTAAATTCCTGTTATCCTGTAGGAGCGTGTCATGTCTTTGCCACAACTTTTGGTGCTTTGCTCTCATCAAAACTTAATAGGCAGTTTCCGCAGGCCAAGCACAGGGCTAACAAGTGCCACACATTCACATAGACATAGAAATCACACACACATACACACACACTCAAAGGAATTGAGGTCAAAGTGTAGCAAGCGGAAATGCAATGCGGCAATCAGCCTACAAATTTATAACAGTCAGCTTTTGTAGTCGTTGCACGTGTGTGTGTGTGTCAGTAGTATACTTGCAATTAACTCTTATTTAAGTTGACTACGCGATGTTAAATAGCTGAGCATAGTATAGAGCATTTGTTAGCTTTTTACATAGCATTACGTTTAAAAATAAGTGCACAGCCAGAAAGGTGGCATTTCTATTATCACTACAGCGATAGTTAATACAAACAAGTAAGGTATCTCAATTTGTGTTATTTATAAATTTGGATTTTTTAAGCTACTATTTCGGCTTCTCTGTAGGCTTTAATTAACTATTTTTATAAATCTCCTTCGAACAAAACTCGTTCTATTCTAGTTGTCGTTTCAAGTTTTCATCTTATATGTAAAATATAGTCAGCTTCGTGTTCAGTGACATGTCGGCTAATATGCAAATTGCTTGCATTTTCGCGCAGCTCTATAATATTGTCATGTGTGGCGGGCAATCAGAATAGCTTGGCAACTGTGTTGCATACTTAGCGGCAACGCGAGTTGCAATGCTGCAACGGGGCGTATGAGCGTTGCATGATTACATGAGTTCTGGCTTCTGTGCAAGTCCTTGCTTTACCATCCCCCCCCCCCTGCTCGTCGAGTATGCAAAATTTGTTGCTCTGCTGTATTATTATGAATTCCGCACTCTGCAATTTGACAGCGATTTCATTTTGAATACATGTTCAACAGCTCTGGCCGTGTTGCATGTTGTGCGTGGGTGCGTGTGTAGCAATTGGGCATTTAAATTAAATTATAAAAGCTCAGTCGAAGCGTTTAAAAACTGCATGCATAAGGCATTTAAAAGTACATTTCAAATTGAGCACAAACATAAATAAAAGAAAGAAACACACACACAAAGTGAAAAGCGCGCAGCAAACACTCAACTTGAGCTATTAGTGGGTAAGTTCTGTAAGTTGATGAGGCGGGGCTAGGCGTGCGGCTGTGGCAGGCAACACGATAACTGCTTTGTGCTGAGATTACGCGACTCGGCGATAAAGTCGGCTGCGGCTCCATTGTGCAACCAAGCGATGAGAGCAGGACTTAGGACTGCGACTCCTATTTGTACCTGACCAGCAGCTACCTACCATTGTGTTGCGACAAAGTCGAAGCGTTGCCACAAGCCGAAGAAGAAGAAGGAGTCGACGACGCATTGGTGGCAGTATTATTTACGAGCGGCAGCGCCTGAGAAGGTCGCTTCCAGGAGCCAGGCGACGACAAATGGGAGCTTGTTCCTGTTGTACCAATTGGTGTTGTTGGATCGTCTGCTGATACTATCGTTGTTGTTGTTGTTGTTGCTGCTGTTGTTGTTGCTGTTGTGTTCTTTAAGCGTTCAATTAGTGTTTGCTTTTTGCCCGTTACGCTCAGACCGCGCGCTCGCAGAAGCGCCTTCAAATCGCTCAAATTGAGGCGCCCAAAATCCTCGCCTGGCAACGGAGCGCAGCGAAAAAAAAAATACAAAGAACACATAAAAAAGAAAAATAGGCGTGCCAGAAAATAAGTAAAATGAAATTAAAATTTTCCATGAAAAGGTGTTAGGCGAGGCGTGGCATACAGAAGAAAAGAAAGGAGAAAAATTAAAAAAAAAAAGAGAGAAGAAAATGGCAAGCGGCAGGCGAAAAGTGCAGGGGCAGCTGCTGCGCCGGCACCTTTTCTTCTGCATAATGAATCAGAAAACAAACAGCGCCCACAAAAAAGGGCAGCACATAAAAAAGAAGAAGGCAGCAGTAGGAGTGAAAAAAAAGCGCAGTTAAAATTGATGGCACGTGCAGTTAACGCCACGCAAAATGCACATAAAAAACACCAACAAACTCAAGTAAATGTGTTAAAAAGCAGCGAAAAAAAAAAAACAAACTGTGACTGGCCCCAAAATGTTGATGAAGACACGCGCCCCGGACCTAGGCAGGACCAAAGGCCTGTGACATCTTTCTTTTATTATTATTATTTTTTTTTTGTAAAACCAGGAAATGACACGCACAACGCGCGACATTAATGCAGAGAGTGATGAAATGCGGGCGGAGTTGGCAGCCGTGTGGCAGGCAGTTGAATGCTTTTGTCAGCCACAGACTGCATGATAAGTTGCAAAGTTGTCTGATTTTGAATAAGTCACGTAAATTACAAGAGCTATAATATGGTAACAAATTAAGGCAATTAAACAATTTATTAAGCATTTGTTGACTTTATAATGCAAGACAAGTATCTGTTTTCTTTTGTATATGGCTTAAGCACTTACTTTAATGGAATTTCCTGAAAAACAATTTATCTCTAACCCCCTCATTTAGTACATTAATCCGCATCCCTTTTGTATAATAAAGCTTTGACTAGCTTTCAGCTTTCGCTCCAAACCTATTTGCTTTGGACTTTCCGCACAGCCCTTTGCTATCCTGACCACTTTGGTCTGTTTAAGACCAGTTATTTTATACGATGCCCTTCGTTATCCCATTTCAAGCTTAAAACACACTCAAAATGCTTTTAATTTAAGAGCAACAACAAAATTGCAGCAGCAACTCAAGAGTTAAGCAGAAACACAAAACTTAATAGAACAAAATCAAAACAGGAAAACATAACTCCAAATATGCCTTTAAGCTAATCAAATATTTATGAAATTGCAGGCTCTCTTTTATATGCCGACCTTTATATACGCTTGTATACGACAAATATACGTGTTTATATATATATTACCCCCCACTTTGTATATTTATGATATACGGAGCAATAAATTTGTTGCCAGATTTTGAACGCTGTGGCCATTGAATAAATCGCAATTTATGACGCTTTCAAGTTCAAATCAGTTTGCGGCAACATAAATTAAGGCTAAACTCGAGAATGAATTCCAAATTTCAAATTGTAATTGCGATGAATAAAAGAAAACTAGTCCGATCAATTAATTAATAAAAAAAGGCTGCGTTAGCCACAGAGCGGAGTGCGAAAAGGAAAAAGTTGCATGCACTTTGGAAAATTAAACAAGAGCGACGACTTTTTTTCTTTTATGCGTGTGCGTGTGTCTCTGTGTGTGTGTGTGTGTGTGTGCGCAACCGCGGCAACCGCAGCGGCTATTGTGTTATCCGTTGTGCTTAGGCTTTTAATATTTTAGTTGCGTTGGCTTTTCATGCTCGCCCAGGAATGCGGTTGGCGCGTGTTAAGGGGCTTTACCTTGGACTGACGTTGCTGCTGCTGCCACCTCGCGTGTGTTTGCGCAAACAGTCAAAGCAATTGCGCAGTTTGCACAATAAACTTAACAGCAGCCGCATGCGGGCTAACAAATGTAAACAAAGCCTAAAAAGAAAACTCCATTGCGCGCAAAAGTAGGCAATGCTTTTTTGCACTTCTTTTAGGGCACATTATGAAATGCAGCCATTGTATGTGTGAAAAGTTTGGTGTTTAAGCAGCCGAAAGCCTCTGGGTCAATACATAGTTTACACAGTTATTCTTTGCCAGCATAAGTCTTATCCCATAAATGGAAGTGTATAAATGGGGCCTATCAATAAATATATATACATATATATCTTTGATATTATCCAAACAATTCTACATGCTTTTATTAGAGGTGCTATATTAGCTTGTTTATTCCCACATCATGCACCATGAATTTCTGTCTTATAAATCGCAGTTTATCTCTTAAGCTTTATTTTCTTTATTCTCCTTTTATTTCGCTTTATTCTAGTGCAGTCTGTTCGTCTTCATGTTATTCTCTTTTGTGTTAGATGGCGTAACTGATTTTATGAAATTTCCTTTTGGATGTACTCCATTTGTAGCACAAAAAGTGCTGCAGCTGCATCCCATAATCGATCTCTGTAGAGTGCGAGCTCTCCAGTGCATGCATGGCCTTCAGGCTGTGCAAACAGCGGAAATTACACAATATGTAATCCCATTTGGATATCTTGCTGCAAGCTGACCCAGTGAAAAACAAGGCAACGATGTGTAAACTCGAGAAAACTTGAAAAGCACCTGTTCAGTTGGTGTGGACACATTGAACTTTGGTGGCAGCGGGCGCTACAGCTTGTGATTGCCTCAAGTGTTGTGCACCGCTTGCGGCGTGGAGTGGCCCCACATGAGCTCCCATTATACGAGCCACAGACTTGAATACCCTTCGCGTATGCAGCTCATGTGTATTGAGAGTTGCCTCAAGTTAAATTAATTGCGCTAACTTTGACAAGAACATTTTCAAGCATATTATCTGCCACTTGCAGGCGCTGCTCAACATCATCAACATCTAAAGAAGTCTCTGGCTGCGGCGTGGAGGAAGCGTGGTTTTAACTGGTTTGACGCTGAATCCGGCACATTTTGCGCGTCAAAATAGGCTCCGGACAGAGTCACAGCCTCTGCTATGGCGGCACGATGGGCAACGGATACTTTCGAACGTCACAAACGTCGACATCCTCGCGCCAGCGGGACAAGCGGTAAGTCCAAACAACGTCTTCTACTGGGTCAACTCTTAAGTTACAGCCAAGGGCAGGCGCTAATAAACCATGTACATATGTCTGCACACGAGGGTTGGCTAAAGTGGCTTCTTGCCACTTGAGAGGACATTTTACGTCCGACAGTTGTGGGCCATAAAAGTCAATGACGTATGCCGGAAATCGTGTAAAAGGCAGCTCCATATAATAAGCTACAACTGTGCATCAATATTTATGGCGGGGTTGCCATTTGGTCAACCAATTTATGTGCTCTGGCTCCAAAAAGGGGTAACAAGGCGACAAACCTTGTAAATGCTGATTTGATATCATGAGGTCAGCTAGCAACTGGCAATAGGAATTTCAATTATGTGAGAAGCGCCGAGAAGGGCTCTTAGAGCAATAGCCAGCTGTAAGAAGCGCAAGTTCAATTTTAAAGTTAAAGAGACAAATGTATAAAAATATTTAAGCTTCACACACTCTTTAAAACTTTGACAATTCGCAGATGTTTTTATATCTCCTTTGCCTGACTGCATCAAGAACAAAAAGAAACAAAAATATTTGCAATCTAAAAATAATTTTATTAGGTTTTTTAGCCGAAACTTCCTCGGCTTTCGCTTTGTTATCACTTTAAATCTTTTCATCCGACTAAAAAAAATAACAAAGAATATAAAAACGGTCGTACATACGAGCAGGTATGTGTGCAACAAGGCCAAGACAAAGAATAATCAGAATGTCGGACAAAGTTTGAAGCACAATGTTTAAAAGGAAACTCCCAACCATGTTCATATCCAGGCCAGCTTCTAGACGGTGAAAAAGACAAAAAAAAAAAAAGAAACTTTACGGGTTTCTTGAAGAACACGTGCTGCTCTATAATTAAATTGCCTCCAGCCTGCGAAGAGCGCGAAATTAAAACAAAAGACAAGCAAATTAAATGCGTTGAGATACCGTGTTCTTTTTCCTTTCTAACAATTAGCGCCTGTCAATTTTTTGGGTGCTCAAGCCTTAAAATCGATACTGATTTGCGGAACAAAGATGCCTTGAATGAGCCTGCATGCTTCAAACATTTTTCCAATTAATGAAATGCCAATTAAACTGAGGCGCCACAAGAGGCGGCTCTCAAATATGGAGCACAATTGCAAGAAGAACAGCAATTAAAAGCGACTAGCGGCGCCCACACATAAGAGAAAAATGGTCTGACACAGATGGTCGGTTTCGTTGGCGTAACAAAAACTATTTGCCGGGTTGGAGTATATCATGGAAGCGATTTACCAGCTGCCACTCACTGGCGGAGCTCAAACACCAATATGAGGCAGCTGCCAACTGACTTGACATTGGTGCTCAAACAAAATCGAGGGGATGCTTCATATGTCTATCATAGTTTGGTCAGCTATTAGATTTGAGAAGTCCGATTAAGTTGATACTAAATGATATATTTGACCCATTAGATGGATTTTTTTTATGAAAATAGTTGGCCTTAATAATATATAGAATATTTCTAAAAATGTATATCAAATAGGACTTAGTTCTGTTCAAAGTTTTTACTTTTACCCTACTTTTAGTAATCTAATCCAATTCCACTAGTCGGAAAAGCCTATATTCTGTACTTGGATTTTGTTATGCTATAAACTATAGCATACTTTTAGGACGGTGTAGAAATATTGGGACATTACAGGGGAAATTAAAGTGGAACTCGAGGTATTTCTGTTAAATATTTGTGCTTCTTATATGTTTTTATACTTCTTCCTCTCACGCGACTGTTGTTCCAATACGCGTCAACAGCCAGGCAAACAGGCGGCTCACATTTTGACCAAAAATTCAATTTTTATTCCCAAATTGAATTGTGTTTTCCACAGTTGGCACTTTTTATCCGCTGCGTTGCATACGCACAGGCGTTGCCTCATTTGCATGTGCACAGAGCGGGCAGCTGGGGTGGTAGGCGAGTGTTTGGGATGCTGGCAGGAAGCAAGTCAATTGCATGCATAGAGCAGTAAATTTGTTTTATTGACAGGCTGTTAACGACGCGTGGAATTCGGGTGAAGGGGAGGGGATTCGCATGTAGAGTGTGTGTATTGTGTGTGCTGCACATAAAGATGTTAGAGACAAGAAATTTGTGACTACTTTCGGGACGCTGGGCGTTATTAACAAATCGATCTATGCATATATTTCACATACATCTACAACTACAGATGGGCACAGGCTCAGCTGTGGGCTCGGCTGGGTTAGATCCCTGACATTTAGTCACGTTTCACAAGTTTCATTGAAATTGACATCAAAATGTCGTGAGTTGCCTTTAAACGTGTGCGTGCAAGTGAGATATGTGTGTGTGTGGGATAGACAAAGAGAGTGAGAGAGAGAAAGATATATGGTGTGTGTGCATACCCATTGTGTATTATTTGACCTTTCCCAGCTTTGTTTTACGTGTCAACTTACCTGCAAAGAAATGTGAGAAAATTGTTGTTTAGAAATGTTTGTAGCAGGCAATTGTCGTAAGGTATAAATAAATTTATCGAATGTGTGAGCGAATTTGCATAAAATACTTTTATAAATGTTTGAAAGTTTGACTTTCGATGTTCGTTAAAAAGTTTGTACTTGGCCAAAAACCAAAACAACGCCAGCAATCACAACAACAACAACTATAGCAACCACTGCAATTGGTTTCTGCGAAACTTTGCAAATTTAATTATGAAGCTTAAAAATAGCAAATGTTGACAGGCCCTCAACACAGACGAAACCGAACACAGAGTGAACTGTGAAGAGCTAAAAAGGCCTCGGGAAACTTTACCAATTAGTTGTGGATAACAACTTTTTCGAATATACATATATATATATGCAGAGCACATGTACATGAAATGACCTAGAAATAGCAAATAATTACATTTGCCTGTAGTTTATCATGATGCGCATATTTTCTCAAGCATCATATAAATTTCATAGTTAATTGCACAATAAGAGAAACGAGAAAAAATAGGTGGGGAAAATGCTTCAATAAAGAAAGGAAAAAGGACGAGTAGCTGTTGCAAATTGTCTGCGTGCAACAGCAAAGAACAAAAAAAGAAAATGGAGGAAAGCAATTTTCGCAGCGCCTAAAGGCAGACAACACAAATTGGCAGGCAGTCTATGTTGCATGCCACAAGCGCGAGGCGAATTACACCCGCAAGCTATAGCTCAAGCGGCGCCCGTAATTAGACTACGATATTGTCAATGTCAGGCCAAAACGGATATGGCCCGTCTCCTGCCGGATAGGCAATTCCTTCTGTCAAGCATTTCCTATTCAATGTCTGATTATCTGCTGCGATTTCCTTTCCCCAATTGTTATACATTGTATGCAAATTGACAGAAAAAAACAAAACAAATGCATTTGGCAGCAAAGTTAAAATCAATTTCGTTTCAAACTTATGCCCTTTATCTAATTTAATGGCATACACTTGTTCACTTTCAAGAAAATACAGCTAGGGGCGGAGCTTAACACACGCGCTCCTTTTAATATTTGCATACATTTTTGAGTCCCTTGTAACCCTTCCCGCACCACCAGCTTACACGCTCCATTGGGCTGTCAGTCTTGTTTACATTCACAAGCTGCTGGCAGGCAGATAGACCAAAATAAACAACATTGTGCATATGTGAATTTATATGAAAAACATAAATATATAAAAAAATAGCAAACATATTTGCCGCAGGAGGAACTTCACTTAGCTTAGGCGACATTTGTTGAAAAAATTCTAGAGTAAATATTTTTATAAGCAGAGTAACTTTATTGGGTGCTGCGGGCGAGTAGCTTATGCGAACTATTTAAATGGCATTAAGCTGTATTTCTTTAAATCTTATCTAACTTGAGCTCGACTTTAGTTGAATAATTTAGATATTTAATTTAACTAATGGGGCCCTAGAGGCTCTTGATGCCTTTGAAGCACTTTTAGCCAGTTATAAACTAGTCTTTCACACATTCTCACGTATTTTATGTGAAGTGCTCGAACACTCTGTTGTTTATGTAAAACATAGAAAATTGCCAACAAAGATTTAAATTTGCGAAGCTGGCTTAAAGCCATGCTGCATGGTCCAAATGTATGTAATATTCCCATGCAGTTAACATGCAATATAACCACAAACGAATATGGCAGAAAACCGGTAAACAAGTTGGTCGTCCTTCTGATTTACTCCACAGGGAAACAAAAAACCCAAAGTAAAAAGTTTCATTTCTTATGCATATGCAAAGAGTAAGCAGTTTCGAGGAGGAGGTAGACAGAGATTGGGAGCAGGGTTGTTGATGATGTTGCTCTAGTTAAGAATAGAATGGAGGCTGTGTTTATCATTATTGTGGCTGTTGTTGTGTGTTGTGTGTGTTTAAGTTGCCGCTATATTGGATTTTTCCACTTCGGTTCGTTCTTGGCACATTAAAGACGGCGCACACAGAAAGCCGTCAAAACTGAGTTGCCTGTCGGAACTGAAAAATTCAAGAGTTGCCCAGGCCCTCGCTACATACACCTTAGGCACAATTACCCAGGCAATGCGCCATAGTCCGCCGCCATGCGAAGCGCGCAACACAGCGGCGGAACAATCCGTCTAGGGCATAAAGGCAAATGTAGTCAAGTTGAGCCTTGACGTGGCATGCGGCATGATTCGCTTAGCATTCAAAATTTAAAAGGGAGCTTTAGAGAGAGATAGAGAGAGAAAGACTGCTGCAATGGCAGATGCAAATTGGCGCAACATTCGTGTCGTTAGAGCATTGCAAGTACTTTCCGGCTTACGGTTGCATTCGCAATGTGCACTTCGGAAAATTCGTTCAGCTCTTTTTAATAAAAATACTTGCAGTTAGTTGGCATAGACACATAAACAACACTCGCATTATATGCACACAAATCACAGAATGGACTGACCCTTGCTGCAGCAGCAAGCATTTATGCCCGAACTTATTGTTGTTGTTGCTGCTGCTGTTTTGCACTTGGCAGCAGACAGCCTCAGATGGACAGTGTCGAGATGCACAGCATATTTTCACACGTACGCAC